ACTTATAAGTGGTTTAACATTTATGTTTTATAGTAGTAATACAATAACTTTATATTTTATGTGGAAAGCATTGCAGGTAATTTTGCAAATAATTTTTTGATTTTGTAATTTAGTACTTTTATTACGCATAAAACTTCATACTTTATACCATGCTCTGTTTTATTTAGTTGTTATGGAATGATCTTGTGGAAAAAAAGATAGTACCTGAAGTAAAATGGTTTCAAATCTTCTTATATTGCTTTAGTACAGCAGTACTCTTCCATGTATCAATCTTTGAACCACATCTCTTAAGGTCTTCCTATTGGAAATTTTTGTATACTATCTCTGGAGGAAGGTAAGAACATCATAAACTTGTTAAACTACTATACATTTAAATTTTTAACACATATTACACTTTTTTTCTTCTGTATAATTTCAGGGTAGCAATAATGTCTCGAGTACCATTAGACATATATGGTTTAGAAACATCTAAGCATCTTGCAGATGTATGTAGAAAAACTAATACTTCCACTAAGAAAACTTTTTCATTTTAATTTAATAACACAAGAATGAAGTAGAATTTATTGAACTTTGTTCTTTTGAACGTATTTGTTATTTACACGAAGTATCGAAGAACTGATGGTACGATTCGGAAAGTTTGTTTCTGTTTAAAAAAAAATAAAAGGAGCTACATAAAAGAGACTTCCTCCTCAAGGAAACTGGGTTTGAATGTTCGTTGAGTACGCGTGCACTCATGTAAGGTCGCGGATTCACGAACGGCACCATGAGGTAAGGGGAATGCTTCTTACCTAAAGAAAAGAAAAAGGGAGGAGGGGAAATAACGCGTATCGTACACCAGTGCTGTTTGTATTCTTCCGGAGTTTAGGGACCTTTTCGCACTGTATATATCTTTATATTATAGTATAAAATGCTGGCTGATATCACATTACACATGAAAAATATATAGTATTAAACACGATTTCTTTACCATTTCCACGTAGAAAGAAACAAAATTGTATTTAAGAGTCTTCATCGATGAACAGTATTGCTGTAGGCGGAGTCAATTGTACTTCCCTTACTTTGTGATACTCCTCGGATGCTTGAAACTATATTTTAATATATGTGTACATAACGAATATTTATATTGAACTTTCTTAACACGAAAAAGTATAAATGATAAGAAATAATGTCATAAGAAATGTCTTGAAAAGAGTGAGTTCGAATATTTACTGAGTACACATGCACTTATGCGATCTCGATGTTGCAGGGGTATTGTGACGCAAGGGGAATACTTTGACTCCGCCTATTGTACTCGTATGCACTCATCGGTACGGAATGAGAAACCTTCCCCTGACCCCATAATACTCCGGGAATATCTATCACTCAGCTCGAGTGCACGCGTACCGAACAAGTACATTGTCGATCTATATTTTTATGCAAAAATATGCTCTTTTGAGATGTACCACTAATTTCAGAATATCATGTATACATTTGAAGTATGTATTAATAAGAAGCGTCTATTAATAAAATAACTACCAAAGAAACGGATATCATAAACTTTTATATTGTTAAATTTTGATAACAGCTATGTATCACTTTAAGAATTAGATTCATTAAACAATGTTTGAAAGGATTACTCGTTAATATTACAAAAATTTGTTATACAATATTCCTGTATTCTTATACAATACATCTGTGATGTTAATATATTTAACTGTCTAGTTTATAAATTTTATACATTTATAGAATAAATATGCTCATATATAAAAAATGCGAAACTATTATTCTAAAAATGCTGTTACAAAATAATGTATTCTTACAAGCGTGTACAAAGCCCTTTCTTGGATATTTAATATAACATTCAATATTTGTGATATTAAAAATTTTATATATATTAGTTGAAATTTTATAATTAAAAAAGCTTTTATATCAATCATTTTGATAGAATTATATAATTTATTTATTACGTTACAAAAATACATTGTTGAACTTCTATTTGTTTTTATATTCCCTGTAAACATGCCAATAATGAATAAAATTTTTGGAACATATAAAAATGTACTATTTTCATTTTTTAACAGCTTCTAATGCCTTATTCATTATTACATCTGTGCTTCTTCGTTCTCGTTTCCTTTTCAAACGTTTCTTTTTTCTTAAAACATTGTCCCAATTAATTTGACTTTGCATTTTTAAGTCTTTCTTATCTATAATTCCAGGAACAATTTCAGATTCTAATACTGAAATATCATATTTTTGTACTACCATATTGAATGGTTTTATAAATTCCAATGTATCATTCTGCCAAGGAAGCAAACCTATTGGACATTCTCTCCAATTACAAGTTGCTGAAAAAATTTTGAAATTATTTTTGCTTGCTAATATTTTAGAAAACAAGAATAAACAATTTAATACTTACTAACTGCAAAGTTCCAATAATTATTTCGAATTTTTTGATCAACTAAAAAAGATGTTTTATTTTCCAGTTCATTTTGATTATTTTCTGTGCCTAATGGATATTCATCAGGTTGAAGGTCTTTGAGTGTAAAAGTCTTTTCATATTCATAAGAATTTTTATCATTTTTATCAACTATCGCTATTACATAAACATTCATTAAATTCAATAGCAATTGTTTGCTTTCTTTATCTATTTTTGGACTTATTAATTCTAACATAGGCACAATGAATTTGACTGAGAATTCATTTACATTCGATATAAGTTTTGAAATAAATTTTATATCAGTTAAGCATGGTAGCACGGTATCTGATATATTAAACCATAAAACACATTTTAAATGTGGATAAATACGATCTGTTTCCTCTTTGACCTTAAGTTCAAAAACTTTTGGTGATAAATTTTTTCTTGTTCTTTCTAATTGATATTCTAAAAGTCGAGATATGATATGTGCATTATCCAGTTTCAGAAAACTATATGATATAGAACTTAACCATAAAGAAGCTAATAATCTTTTTTCTTTCTTTACTTCTTCATTGTCTATTAATTCTAATAATTTTACAATTAATGTTTCCATTAGGTCTTTTTCATATAATAAAAATATTATATCTTTCCAAAAATTGACCATATCTAATGGCAAAACATCTTTTTCTAATTTACTTTCACTGCTTTCATTTTGGGTAAAAATTGATAAAACATCTTTGTTTGGTAAAAAAGCTTCTGAATTAAACAGTGTATTGCAAACTATATCTTTTTTATTAGGTATAATTTTTTTGTTAAGATATCTAGATATTTCAGATAAAAGAACTATCCTTGCAGTCTCTAATGTATACTTTTTATCTTTTTTTATATCATCACTGACAGCTTCCACATAGTTATCTTTATCACTTTCCACATCTTCGCTATTTTTTTCTAATAAAGAAATAGCATATGAACGCAGATCTTGTAATGTTTCCCTATGAAGAATATCAATTTATTGATATAAATTTATTATAGTTGAAATAGTTGAATATATTTATACATACTTCAACTGAGAATCTGGAACACCAGATACTAGATGGTAACCGGCATGAATATACAAACTAACAGAAGTCCAAAGTTCTATTAAATCACTGAAATCCTGTACTTCTTCAGTTTCTTGAACTTCCTTCATAGATTCCTCAGTAATCAAACATTTTTCAATTTTTTTAGCTTCTGCTACCCAATATTCTTCCTTTAAATATATTACATAAAAGTAATTTTTTTCTTTTCAAGTTACAATTAATATTAAAATAAACTTACATGTAACCAAGTTAGTAATATGTTTACAGCTATTTTCAATACTCCAATAGATGGTAATTCATGACTATGAGCAGTATCATGCCTTAAGTTCACTATCCACTTTGGGATATTTAACTGTTGTGCAATCTGAAATAAAGATGTTTGCTTCGTATGTCCTACATTAGATATATAATTTAAAAGTCTCATTATTGTAGTTGAGTACATCAAACATAAATCATTTTCATAGCTAAGTGGCAACTCGCCACTATTAATCTTAGGAGTCCATTCACGATCTCTAATACACACTTGCATAATTGAAAGAGTACAATCAATCCCTATTGGTAATTTTGGTATCCTAAAATATTGCCAATTAATACAACTTATTTCAAAATATTCGGTTAAACGTTTATTACTTGATTACCTTGCTTTCCAAACAAGCAGCGTCTCATATCCTTTCATCTGTTCATCTATATCATTGGAATAAATCTGTTTGTACACTTGGAACCACTCTGCGCTATGGAATGTAAATATAATTTCTTATAAAATACTTTAAGTCATAATAATTATTAAGTATTCTAATATTTACAGAGAAAACCAAGGTACTTGTTTTACGCCTTCCTGTCCCATGGAGAGCGCCATACTTGCCATGTGCAATATGAATCTTACGCTTCTATTATTAACTGATTTGTATGTGTCATGAAGTGAGTATACTTTACGTACACACACACTCTGTGTAATATATGGAACCGGACAGTTACTGCTGAATAAGTTCTCGAAATTTTATAAAAATATGGCGAAACAAATAAAGATGATATTAATAGATCTTAGTGGAACACTGCATATTGATAATATAGCGATTCAAGGTGCAGTAGAAGCTTTAAACAGGTGGTCTTTTCATTTAATTTGTAAGAATTATTTAGGTCGTTAGCAAATGTCATGGCGCAGCGTGCATTGCGCCGATTTCTTCGATTGAAGTTTTTTAAATTGAAATATTAATTTTATGTCTTAACATTATTACTATTAATAATGTTTAAATAAACAAAGAATAATTTGACAAAAATTATATATTGTATAAATAATTTTATTGTTTGTAATATAGGCTTCGAAGCGCTAATATACCGATCAAATTTGTCACAAATACAACAAAAGAATCCGGTAACTTCCTACATAACCGATTAATAAGACTCGGTTTTAATATTAAAAAAGAAGAAATTTTCAGTTCTTTAGCTGCAGCGAGAAATTTAATTATTCTACGGAAATTAAATCCAATGTTACTAATTGATCCTGCTGCTAATGAAGATTTTGAAGATTTAATAAAAAATAACGAGAAGGCAAATGCTGTTGTAATCGGATTAGCACCAGATAAATTTCATTATGAAGAACTAACCAAAGCATTCAGGTGTATCTTGATTATTTGATATAATAAATCATAAAAAATCTATAACAGTACACTTATTATGAGAAACAAATTATTTTTAATTTCAGATTGTTATTAGATGGCGCATCACTCATAGCAATTCATAAAGGACGATATTATAAAAGATCAGATGGGTTAGCTTTAGGACCAGGTGCATTTATCGCTGGTTTAGAATATTCAGCAAATATTAAAGCAGAAGTCGTTGGAAAACCAACTGCAGAATTCTTTAAAGCTGCTCTAGGAAATATATCTCCAGAAGAAGCAATTATGATAGGCGATGTAAAAAATATTTTAAACAGTGTTTTCTATTTTAATTTTTAGTTCTTTATTTTATAATAATTTCTAGGATGTTAAAGATGATGTGGCTGGTGCCCAAGCTATTGGTATGAGAGGACTTCTAGTACAAACCGGAAAGTATCGAAATGGGGATGAAAATATAATTACACCACAGCCTACAAAAGTATGCAGCTCTTTTGTTCAAGCTGTAGAATATATTCTTAAAAACGAAATTTAAATGTTATGATTTTGTACTAATAACAATAATGTTATACATATAAGTGCATATATACATTTATATAAGTTATTCTGTATTAAATTAGATATTTTATTTAAATATTAATAATTCCGTAATGGTATACATGATCTGGAGTAGTTTTATATTATAATAGTTTCAAAATATAAAGTAGACAGTAGCTATAAAGAAACTGATATAGTAATTTTATGATATGAAATATATTACCAAATTATATTATTTGTTCTAGTAGTAATAAAATGTATGACAGATTCTATTTGTTGTATGAATCAACTAATAATTGAAAGTAGATCTTTACAAACATTAAATGGATACCATCTCATTGCGCAATAGGATGTAGAAAATTGTAGAAAATTTCATTTGCTATTATATATGAATGAATTATGTTTATAAATTAGGATGAATCAACTCTTCTTTCACATTTGACCATAGAATTATCTAGACGTGAGACAATATTTTTAGGATTTTTATATGACTCTAAAAACAAAGAAAATGATCGTTGTAATTATGAATATCTACCACTATACATAATCTTAGGTAATAAATATTAGAACTATAGTACTTAATAAGTTATTATTAAAAGCAGTTTTACAAAAAAAATGTTAATCTCTTTTCAAAAGAAATGGGTGCACTGCAGGAGTTTCCTGTTTAGTATAAAATTTTGGCACCATTTCACAATTTTTTTTTTTATACATACATAAGAATTATTTATTTTGAGAATGTCCATTTTTTGTCCCTTACTAAAAAGATAGGGTATACAGTTAGTTTTGATTTGAAGATCTCACGTTTTAAAAGTGTAATTGTAAGCGCTCTTTAATGTTATACATTAATATTTCCTTTAATGAACAATATTATCTTTTTTAGTGAGGAAGGCTCAGTTATAATTTTTATGAATACTGTATGAAATGCACGTCACATGTGTAGAACTAATATAATATTACCTACAAGTGAAAACGCTAAACAATAGAATAAATCTTTATGAATTTGCAATTATACAAATAACATAAAAATTTAATTATAATACAAAAAAAAAAAAAAAATGAAAATATATAAAGTTTTTCTTTGCAATAGAGCAAAATAATAAATTATCAGAAAATTTAATTCAATAATTAATGCTTAAACACAATAAGTGAACAATCGCATTTTGCGCCTAGTATTATATAAATAAATTTACAAATAAAATACTTACAAATCTGTAACTAAACACTGGATTCAGACGAAGTATTTTCTATGATTATGCACCGCAATAGCATTAACTTACAATCCATATTATTCTCAAAAGATCAGTTCATAATTTAAATGCCCTCTACAACTTATAATCTAGGATCAGGCACGTATTGATTTCCTGTTGCAATAACGAGGGTCATTTTACGAAAATACGTCCCATTAACAAAATGAACAAGATAATTAAATACGACAATGATTGATACTAGGTCTTTGCAAAAATATACATATAATGCTGATATACAAACATAAAAATGAATCAAACTTAACTACAAATATACAATATTTTTGGTAGCCATTTTCTTAATCAATGTCTTTAGCTCGAGAGACATTTATCACAGAGCTCTAAAAATTCCTAATAAGAACAAAGAAGAGAACTAAATAGTAGCAATTAATTTTCTTTACATAATTAAATAAGTGTAACAAAAGCTTAGCAAATAAATACTTACACAATATGTAGCATATTAAAATATAACAACGGAATAATCTCTAACTTTATTAAAAAACTGCTTCTATGTCATTTTGATAACACAAAAATTACAACATTTAGGGCCATATCAATAAAGAACAGTATTTTCTCCTTTTTTTCTCCCCCCTCCCTTTCTCTCCTTTTTAGAAAAGTCAAGCATTTATCTCATTTTCATAAAATTGGTGCAAAGGCTTCGATTTTGACATTTGCTTCGATTTTATGTATACAGCCCATCACCATAATTAAGGGACGTTACAGTCGCATTTGTATGTACAATATGTAAGATTCTATCAGAGTGAATATTTTAATGTATGATTAACTACAGACTTCATTTTTTTTATCTATTACAGTTGTCTCCCAGGATCAAATTCTGCCAATGTAGTTATACTTGTTTAACCAACAACTGTACTGTATTTTCTTCTCTTATATGAAACATCATTATACATTTATCATAAAAGTTCAATTATTGGAAGTTCTACTAGAGACAGAATTTGATGTTATTATACTGAAGACAATACACTGTTATTTCCTACATTATTAATAGGAAATATTGAACTGTTAATTTGGCTGCTCGATTTTAATTTGATTAATAGTAAATTGACATTTCACTCTTCCTTTTATAGTTTGTTTTTTTCTTTCTTTTTTTTTTTTTTCTTTTTTTTAATAACAAGGCAGGTGTGTGGAGTACTGCTAATACATATTGTGGATCTCATTTGTTCGATTATATGATTTATTGTTTATCTTATTAAAAAATTAAATGATACTACTTGTAAATCATAAAAATATAACTACGTGGTATTAACAGAGAAAGATTCGAGAAGTATACCAGGAATATGGCATTTATGGTCATTTTTAGACACTCGATAATTTCCTGGGCCATGAGATTTATCCTTTATTTTCTTTTTCCTTTTTTTTTTCTTTGTGCTCAACTTTCATTGTTGATATTTTTGAAGTGGGAAGACTATAAATGGCTGACAGTAAACTTTTAATTCTTTGCATTCAAGTACAAAAATAATATTCTTTTAAAAGTAAACTAACTGAAAGTGTTGTATCATTGAATTTGGCCTCAGGATATAAATATACAAATATGAGCAATTTATACTAATACTTCCACACATTATTGCCTTTAAATTCATTTTACTTTATATACTCTACTTGTGACCTGGCTTTTACTCATCTTCGGTTGCAATATCTAATGAAACATCCACCGAAATTCGATTGAATATGTCATGAAAAGAAGGTAGCGTAAGTTGCCACAATCTGCAATTAGACCACATATCTTCTGTTATTCTGAAACATATTTGTTTTATATAATTATTTCTTAATAAATAGATAATAAATAATAATAATTACTTACTTTATGACAGTAAAAAACCAGGCACACCTTAGAGATCTCTGTTCCGATGTACTTAGTCCTAACTATTTTACTGGCCGATAATGAAGTATTAAATCTGCCGAACTTTTCCAAATAAAATGTCTGACCTAATATACAAAAAAAATGAAAATAATATAAAAATTTTACAGCTTTAATAAATATAGGTACATAAAGTGTAAAAGACGCACCGTTCTTAAATCCATAGAAGGATCCAGAACTTGATCATTACATAACAATTCTACTTTTTCTTCGGCCAGCGAAGAATTATCAGCATTTGAATCTGTATTTGTCCTATCTCCCGCTGGAGATCCTCCAGAAACTGTATTTCCAGTACCTGCTACCGATCCTGAATCACTTCCGGCACCAAGCACTTTATCGCAAACATGTTCAGCTACTTTACGAATTTGTATAAAATCGTTTGCAATTAAACGATCCCTTAAAAAATTATATATAAAGTTCGTGTTATAAATATATGATTGATAATATTTATAAAAATATTACTTATTTATTACTTTTTTAAACTTTTTACGCCGGACGTGGCATGTGGAAGAAGATAAAAAGATATTTTAATGAATTGAGGAAGATTTTTATCCACAACAATATTAACTACCCATGCTGGTACAGTTTCATTTAATAAAACTCCCTCCATTTCTCCTGCAGCATCTCTAACTAATAATCTATACAATGGCCTTCCTCCTACTTCACTGAAATACAATTGTATTCTTATTGTTATTACTGGAGATAGTTAACCAAATTTACTGTCATTAGAAAGAAGTACTTAGACCTTTCCATACCTGAATAAAACAGGCGTATGAGTTGGTACTGAGAAATATAAATTCCCTCCTCTAGTGTGTGTAGAACCATTGCCATCATTACTATTACCTTCATTTTCGTCATCAACATGTAATGGCCTCCACCAATGTTCAAGTAATGCTTGTAGTAAAAGATTTCCATAATTCACTAGAAAGGAAAGCAATACTTGAAAAACAATAATAAATGATACTTATATAACAAATAAATATTACCTTTCTGATCTACTGCATCATTTTCTGCAAGACCAGTTTCTTTTGCAGAAACCCATGCAGAAAAGCAGTCGTTTTCATCTTGACCTAAATGGATGGTCAACATCTATAAAAATATAGTATTTAACATTATTTTCTATTTCATATATATTAAAATTTTAATTGTATTAAATTATAGAATTACATACCCCAGTTTTAAGATCTACACTAAACCAATTTGGAACATACACCATTTTATTTCTTTTCTTTATCTCCTGTTCAAAATCTACCTTCCCTAAATCTTCAACTTTACGTGCCTTTAATACATCGTATAAAGCTACATTTTCTTCCGTATCTTTCGTTAAAACGTGTCTTCGGTCATTTAAAACATGACAATGTCGTATTGCCGGACCACCTAATATTTTCTGTGCAGGCTCTGTATTCCTTACATTTGGAGTTACGCCACTAGCAGCATCACAATAGTCTTCAATTCCTAATTCTTGCCAATCTTTTTGACTTATAGACTATAACAAATATTAAAATACTATTTATACTATTAACGCATTTTTCTTTTATACATAAGGAAATGAAACAATACCCAATTATTTATGGTAGATTCACTAGTTGCCACCCAAATGCTGGATTGATCAGGTGTCATAACCATTTTTAATACAGGTGCTTTCTCTTCACAAATGACTGTATATCTTTCTGGATAGCAGGATAATTCAGTCATTACAACTCTTTTGTCTCTACCACCTGATATTACATGACTGAAGGTATCTGTTGCCTAAAAATAATTGTTTTAGTTTAGTATAATTATTTAAATTGCTTCAATAAAATATTGATACAAGGAAAAATTGTAATTACCAATAATGCCCAAACACCTTCTTTATGTACTCTATAGGTTTGGATACATCTTTGTTGTCCCAATGACCAAAGTTTGATTGTTCCATCAGAACTGGCAGACAAACATTGAGTACCATCTCTATTTAATACTAATGCTTTAATATTATCCATATGACCACGAAGTTTCATTAGTTTAGTACAATTTCTTGGATCCCATACTCTTAAAACTTTTTCTGTACTACCACTCACTATAATTGTCCCAATTTGATTCATAGCAAGGCTATATATAGAATCTTTATTTCCACTAAGTGATGATGCTGTAAATTATTCACATGTTATTTAAATAGTAGAGAAATAATTGTAGATTGTTTATATGACTAATTGTATTTTTACTTGTTACTGTATTATTGCTTGCTGTAAGAGCAGTTAATGTATTCACATCCCATAAAAAGATTAATTTATCTAAACCAGCACTAGCAACTTGCTCTTTGTCTTTAGCATATGCCAAAGCTTTTACATAATCTTTATGTGTTCTTAATGTAGACATGCAAAAACCTTTGTGTGCATTCCATACTTTTACTGTTGTGTCAGAACTGGCTGATATTACTGTAAAATATTTTCCTTTTTATTAGATAAAAATAATTGCACTTTAATTTAACACATTATATGTTTATACATAATAAATGTTAAATATTAACTTAGAAACATAATGAAAAATACATACAATTTTTGCCACCACAACATAATACTATATCATTGACCCAATCTGTATGGTGTTCTATTGATTGAATATAAGGGTCCTTCATATTTTTGCAATTCCATATCCTTATAATGCTATCTCTACCTGCAGAGTAAAGCCTATGCAAAGCTGGATCATATTGTAATGAATTGACTCCAGCTCTGTGTCTTCTTTCCTCTTCATCTCTTATAACCATGGACACCTTCATGAAGTACACAAAATAACAGTATAATTACTGTTCATGAATATATCTTTTATAAGCTTCATTAATAAATTTTATTTGATAATATTGCAAGTTTATAAATATGAAAAATTATTTATAACATTTATCGCTACAGAAAAGTTGTGAAATCGATCAATGATTGCACGTAGCGTCAAATAACAGATATTAAATATATCATAGATTAATCGCAACTCTATTGTTCCATACATGATCATGTGGCTTTTTTAATGGACAAAATATCAGCACTTATGTGCACGTAGCAATGTTGTTTTCATGAAAACATCTCATTCGATATAAATATTATGTTTCCAAAAGTAACGACGTAACGATATGTCTCAAGAGAGAAAAAATATCACGAACAAGTACCTGTACTTTCTTTCGAGCACTTTGCCCGCCTGTCTTATGAGCTGCCATTATACCGCGAACTGTTCTGTAGCTTCGCACTTAAAGATAATAGAGGAAAACATTCGAAATATACTACAATTAAGCTGCAGCACTTGCACGATGTAACGCGTTGAAACCACGTAGTAGTTTCATCGTTGATTACATTGAAAACCTTACACAACCAGAAGGTATTGTGTTTTCGAATTCATAAAGAACAATCCAGTGCACATTATACTGAAGTTTAAATAGTTGTCAGGCGATCACATATAAACAATGTTCATGATGATCAGATATAAAAATTGTCAATGTTTTAACGCCGGTGTCAATAAGGTCCGACGTTATACACATAACGTTACATCACGTTTCAGAGCGTCTGACAACGTTTCGACTCCATTGTTGTGATTGAATAAAGCCGGATATATCCGTGTTTCGTGTTTTAACAGATGTTAAACTTATTTGTTCTGTACGAAACCTGTCACAAGTCAGATATGTGTTCCTACATATAATTAGTGACAATAACACGAGTTTAAAGAAAATTTTAATTTAGAAAATCGGTATTTCAACAATTTTATCGGTACTCTTGTGACCAATAGTCATCCGAGGTGCAACTATGGATATATAGCACCACATTAAGCAGCCAATGAAAAATAATAAATGTATTGTATTTAGGTGCATTCACGTATACTTTGCTTCTGGAAAATATCCCGATTGGCAATTTATTAACCTTATACCAATCAAGAAAATTTCGATCAACTATTGAAAACAGCCAGAAGTTGCAATGCATATAATATAATTTCATAACATATTAAATAGAAAATGTAATACTATTCCATGTTTCACAGATTTAAGAACACATGGAAATTATTCTTTGAAATAATAAAAATTGTCTCAAAAACTTCATACTCTATCAAACGAGTAGATAATAATGAATATCTCTTTAAATAAAAGAATGTTATGTAATAATTTGAAATATATTTTTATCTTTTATTAAGTCGGTTTCGTGTTAAAATCGAAGGTATTCCGAAACTCATCAAAGCGCCAACTAGGGAGAATATTCTTCATTAATTCTAGCCGGAAAGACAGCATCTATCTCCGGTACGCCCATGAAAGAAGCAAAGGTGTCCGTCAGTTGAACGCCGCCATTTTCGTGGTGTGTAAACGTTCTGTTGATTTCAGAAAGAAACAGTTGTGTGACGTTGTGCGCACAACCATTCCGAGGTATTATACGTCCTCGGCAAGTTCTACAGCATGAATCAATCACGGAATTTTACATCGTTATTGAATCCAAGTTATCTGCAAAACGCGCAACAAAATGCTGCTACTGCAAACGCGGCTGCCGCTGCAGCTGCAGCAGCTGCCGCGGTGAGTGCCGCGATTGCAAATGGAACGCAGCTTAACTCCAATTCCAATCCTACAACAAATAACACGAGGAAACGCGAAGCGGAAAGTACGTTTGAAATTGTTCTTATTACGCCATTAATTTCATTCTATTGTCGTATGCGACCTGATTTTGTATATACAATTTGCTTAATCATATGGTCATACGTAGCACGGTATATAGTTAGACATCTTTTAATTATTATTTTCTACACATAATATGTATATATACGTATATATAGGATATACATATATACATACATACATACATAGGTTGTTTAATATATAATATTTTCCATTCTTTTAAATCTTCGTTTGTGTGCTTGAAAAACGTTTGAACGTATTTATAATTTGCAATTTAATGTAGTGGAACAAGTAGAACTATAAGTAAGTTAGATATATTTTAGGCGATGGTAAACAGGAAAAAGAGACGAAAGAGGAACGTAGGAAGAGGAGGAAAACTAGATGGAGCGGTAGTGAACATGACAAAACTTTTATACCAGGCATGCCTACGGTTCTACCAACAAACCTGACTCCTGAACAGGAGAAGGCTTACCTCTGTAAGTTTATTTTCTTGTATTTTTTTTTTAACAATTATTTCACTTTAATTATATATTATATACACATATATGTATACATATATGGGCAGGATATGATTTAAGAATCATGCTTCTGCGTATAAATTTCTGAAACTTAATTTGTAGTACTATAAAAGATGTAAGTATGTATGTATTCTTAAAAATTTATAGTTGCCAAAGCTAATTGCCTTTTTAAATATTTTCAAGAAGTGAGTTTGGCAATAGGAATTGCCAATTTTGCTGAATGATGGATATAAAATTAACAGATTTCTTAGATCATCTAAATTAATTACATTGAATTTGCTGCCAATTTTATTTCTTATGTGTTTATAAAGGTTCTAATCACTTATGTATAACAAATTATTGATAAGAAACTATTAAGATATATTTTTTTTAATTGATTAAGAAAAAAACATAATAATTTATTAAAGAAAACTTACAAGAATTTATAAAATGCTAGACTTAGGTGAATATTCTACACTTTTGAGACATGCTTACATTATAGAATGTATATGGTTATGGCAAATTGGCAATATCTAACTGTTGGGGTTTCCGCCCCCTCTAACCCGTTGGTTTACAGTTCAGCTGCAGATTGAGGAAATCAGCAGGA